ATTCTCTTGGTGTCTGGTGCACAACAGATTGACATCTTGCATTAGACCATTTCTGTTTCACAGGGTATTCAAATCTATAGATCTCATCTGGGTTGGAAGGTAGAGCAGGTATTAACCCCATTTACAGAAAACTTGTGCATATGACTTTAATGTCCTGCTGAAAGTCTCACCATTAGTAAATGACACAGTATACTTGACCTCATTGCTTTAAAAAGGCGAGGAGAGGGTGGCAGGAAGGCAGCGGTGGACAATGAGATGCCCAGTTTTTCTGTAATCCCTAAACAGCAAACCCTCCCCAGAAAAGGCCTCAAGCCAACTACTGGGGTTCAAATCTCTTGAAGGTCAGGTCGGCAAGGCTATGCCGACTCCTCTGCTTGCAAACTCAGGGTTTGTATCCCTCGAATTCGGAGTCCATGCGACAGTGAGTGTAAGATTTCCAAGGGGTGGGGGAACATTGTGAGGTATGGGTAGCCAAGCCTATGACACCCAGGCCCTTGGACGTCGAGGTGGGGTTTGCCCGGGATGGGTCAGTCACCTGGGAGCCGGTTCCTCTGTCTGGGGCTTCGGACGCACACTGTCCGCACCAAGGGCACCAATTTCTGCTTGAAAGCACCCGCCGCAAGGCCTCCACACCGGAACATTTCGGCAACCGCTACTCCAGACCTCCTCCTTCCTTTTTCTCTCACTCACCGACCAACGGGTCAAACACCACGGGCCCGAGCCCCCTCCCCCCTCCTCTCACACGCACACTACGCAGGCTCCTCCCCCCAGATGCTAGTGGACATTGGACAGTGAAGCCCGCCTGCCGGAGCCAGGAACTGGGAACTGCGACCAGAGGCCTACTGCGCAGGCGCAGCACTCAGCATCGCAGTGCGATTGGTCCGCAAGGTAATAGGATTTGCGCATGCGTTTATGTGCTCGTACGCTTTGCAAAGACCCGGGTTCTGGCTCGGCTTAGCAAGTTTCTTTGAGTTGGTGGCAATGAGTTGGCGTGAGCGAATTTGGAGAACTGTTTAAGGAGCTACCGGTGGAGCCATTTGACTGGCGGCTGTGGCTGGTATTGCCGCTCTATCGGTGATGGGAACTGATAACAGTACCCCACAAAGTGTGACCCCTGAACCGCATTGTTTTTCCGTTTTAGGCCACAAGCTACTAGGTACTTAAGCCTTCCGGATTCTCTTGCTGTGGTCCACTTCCAGTCTTTCCATGGGTCCGAATCTGGACCCCTGACTTCCCAGATCTGGAACGTACTTCCGTCTTTTACAAGTTTCTGGCACTTTTCCACCCAGCCTGTTTCCGGGACTAGTAATCGTTTTGCGCGCTCTGTCCTCTTACCACTTTTATACGCTGCATTTTTATGTTCTAGGCACTGAGTAGGAGCAGTGGATAGTCTCTTGCTATGATGGCTTCTGCGCTTGAGAGCAGGATGCTGGTAAAAGAGTCGATGCTTTCCTAAATCCTAAGGAGGAGTTTTGAGTTGTGGGAGGAGTAGTGAAGGGCTGATTGTAAGCAGGTATTTTGACTCTGCTAAGTGTAAGCTAAACCGTAAATAACTTTTTTGGCTGTATCCAGAAAATATATACCTTTTTCAAGGATTTGGGCTACATATTAATTTAACATGTTCCTTGAGCACTTGCCTCTTGGACTGAACTATGAAAGTGACTCTTAAGTGGAAATAAAAAGTATTGAAAATGGTAACTGTCTAGTTGGGGAAATGACATATACTGGTCATTTAAGTAATAATCCTATTTGGTGCAGTGCCAGAGCAACGAAGAAGATCTTGTGATGGAATCACTAAGGAAAAAACTCATGCGAAAGTGTTATTTGAACTGTATCTTTAAGGAAGAATAGCAACTTTCAAATAGTGGAGGGAGAGAAATGATATTTCAGGTGGTGAATATGTTGGGACCAAAGGTAACATTGTTTATTGGCTAAGCATGTTAACTTTGGATCCATAGGGACCCAGGTTGAATCCTGGCTGGTCCACTTGGGCAAATCACTTAATGACTTCATTTTCCTCATATACCAATCTCACCAGGGTGTTAGGAATACTAAATGAACCAATATTTGTAAAGTGTCTTAGAGCAAGCACCAAGCTATTTGTTAAATTAACAGGCCTTGAGGTATGAAAAACAAAATCAGCGTGTGTGTGTGTGTGTGTGTGTGTGTGTGTGTGTGTGTATATATATATATATAGAGAGAGAGAGAGAGAGAATTTTTGTAGTTGGACATTTATTTATTTTTATGTGATGCTGAGGATGGAACCCAGTGCTTCCCATGTGCTAGGCAAGCGAGCCACACCCCCAGCCCCCAGCACACCTTTGTGAGACAATGATAGTACATACTGCATTAGGGAGTTGTGATAAAGACAGGTAAGTATGGTGGGGTGAGATTTGAACTGGCAAAAGAGTTTCCGAATTTTGGAGGTGATGAAGTTAAATTTTTAGTGGAATGAGAATAGGAAATAAAATTACAGGTATTGTTTTAAGAAGTTTTTAACCCTGGAAGCAATCGTTATTGGATGAAATGATCCAGAGTTTCTTTAGCCATTCAGCAAGAGTAGATCATTGTTGAGAAGTACAGTCAATGGGTGACATTTTACCTAGAGATGCTTCAGGGAATAAATATTGAAAACATCAACTGGAGAATAAGGAAATTATTTATAGTTATTTAATATTTTAAAGGGCTTACAGGAGGGCTGGAAAGACCTTGGGTTCAATCCCCAGCGCTGCCAAAAAGAAAAAGAGAAAAAAACCCTTACAGACATTGTTGTATATTGATATTTCTAATACCTATAATATACCTAGAAGGCTAAGGCAGGAAGATAGCTTGAGCCCAGGAATTTAGGGGCAGCCTGGACAATAAGATCCCCATCTCTTAACAGCAACAAAATAATAATAAAATGATAATAAATTGATTGAGTTGATCACATCTGTTGGTAAAAAAGGTAGAAACACTGTGAAATCATGACAGTCAGGGTCTCATGAAACAACCACATATATTTAAAAGAATTTAATGATCCAAAGCTAAAACAAAAGCATTTGTAAAGCACATTTGTTTTTGTAATAGGTGCAATGAGGTAGTTTTCTTATCTTTTTAATTAAAAACTATATTTAACGTTATAAAATAGCAAAATGCCCATCAAACTGATTCCAAAAATATTATGTGAAAGCCCCCCAAGACTTGTCCCACACAAGTAACATACACTTTTTATTAGGACAAGAAGCCCATTTTGTTTTGTTTTTGCAGTACTAGGGACAGAACCAAGGAGCACTCTATCAGTGAGCACAACCCATCCCTTTTTATTTTTTATTTTGATGTAGGGTCTCACTAAGTTTCCCAGGCTGGCCTTCCAAGTTGTTGGGATTATTGCCACCTTGCCTGGCTATAGAACCCATTTTGAAATACCATATTCCCAGAAATCAAAATTTCTGTCTTACAGAGGTAGACTCAGTGACAAGTTTTTGTTAGAAGCCTATATCTAAATAATCTTATGTGGTTATAATGCTTATTTTTATATTTCTTAGGAAGTTAGCATTAACTCTAGGTATGAGTTGGCAAAGATTCTTTCCACCATATGTATATGATGTTCCCAATTAATAGTTCTCTCTCCCTTACTGTTTACAGCTATTCTTTTATAGGTAAAGAACACTAGGGACATTAGCTTTTAATATAGATGAGAATGTTCCACAAACTATTATCTGGACATCAGGCAATAAAAAAACCAAAATACTATGCAATGATGATTGATATGCTGTAGCATGGTAATTGGTATTCATGATGGTGACCTTGGATTAGCCAACTAAGATTAATTCCTTCTCTGGATGGTTTTAATGTTGAATAATATGATCTAGGGTTTTAGAAATGGGTGACCCACATATATGATAGAGGTTAGCTATAAATATATCTGCTAACTCAGTTAATACACTTAATAACTAGAAGACCCCATTTTGAGTAACTTGAACATAACTGAGTAGTCACTTCCACTTTGCTCACAGACATCACTGATACTGAATTGTTTTTCCTCTTGGTGGGAATGGATATAGTCATATTTGTCTCTTCCTGCAGCTCAGATTCACAAATAAGATGTCAGCTCATGTGTGCAGCTTGAATCCCTGACTTTGATGGCATTATCAATATTTTATATCTTGGTGCTATTGGCATATGTCACTGTCATCTTAGCCTATGAAATACAAGGAGGAGTATTCTTTAAAGCAAATATAAAATGGGTGCACTTTATTGTATGTAAATTATTCCTCAGTAAAGTTGATTTCAAACAAATTCTGAACCAGCAGATCACTTTCGGAAGAGGGAATATGAGTCTTGACCAAAACGTATGATGATTAATAAGCTTTGGGAAGCTGCCCTCTAATACCGTAAGAAAGTTGTGTTCATTTATCATCTTCCAAGCATAATCTAGGCTTCTGGCAAATTAGACCCAACCACTTTGTTCTACATTCAGTTGCAGAGGGGGTGGTGAACCCTCCTAGGGATTTGCAATTCTCCTTGAAACTCTGCCATCCTGAAGTTTAATGGTTATATGGAAGGCTCACAAATGCAAGGCACTGTGGAATTTATGCCATGTCCTAAGATCCCTCACCTGGGCCTGTAATGGCTAACTCCAGAAACAAAATCCCCTTTTTCTGGAGCGGCCACCACCAACTCCCCCTTCTCCTATCCTCCATGTGTCCCACTCCCGTGGCGGACCTTCCCTATTGGCCAGCCAAACACAACCGACTGCAGCAGCCAATGGGAAACGCTCTCCTGAACATTCAGAGGATGGGTGCTCGTGGTGTGATGAGGGGAGGTTGGCGCCTGGTACGCGCCCCCCTACATTTGGCAAGTCTGTGACAGAAACTGTAACACCCCCTACACACGCACACCCGCGCCCCCT